AAGTCCATGCCATCCTTCTCGACCGCCAGGCCAATGCTGCGCGCGTGCGCGTTGTGCTCGAGGATGATCTGCTCGAGGTACAAGAGCGTGCGTTGGTGGTGGACCTTTTGGCGGATCTGCACGAGCGCCTGCCACGTATCGTTGCGGGACATTTTGCAGCAGTCGGGGCACTTGAGGTTCTCGATCACAAACGTCACTAGAAACGACTGCTGCAGCACCGAATGGCGCAAAATCTAGTCGCATTTCGAACAGGAGCGAGAGCGTTGGGAGACACATACCTCTTTGCGGATTGTGAGCTTGAGCTTGACGCGCTTGCTGTGGGGCTCGGTCCACATAAAACTCGCGTCCATGAGCTTGATGTCACGGCCAAGACCGTGAAGTTTTTTTAGGCAGATCGACATGAGCTCCAAGGACTCGAGGTGGCACTCGACGAACGCGCCATTGCTGTCTTTGGCGCCTTGCTGGAAGCGGAGGCAGCCGTTGCACTGGGTCAAGACGCCTTCCTTGGTGATACCGTCGGTAATATCGACCTCGTTCGATAGGCAGAATGTATCACATACAAATACGAAGATAGTGCAAGCCAAGGGACTTCAAATCAAAAAGAACCTTCGTCGCGTTCGTCGAGCGCGCAAAGGTACGATGACGATGCCAATGCGAACACTCCCGAATGTGTGCTAAGGATGGTGTCGATAGGGCTCTGGAAGGACTCAGTGTTGATGAAAAAATATGCTACGTTAGAGCTTTCTGGTTTCTGAGTCCTTCCAGAGCCCTATCGACACCATCCTTAGCACACATTCGGGAGTGTTCGCATTGGCATCGTCATCGTACCTTTGCGCGCTCGACGAACGCGACGAAGGTTCTTTTTGATTTGAAGTCCCTTGGCTTGCACTATCTTCGTATTTGTATGTGATACATTGTTCGTGTTCTTTTCGCGTACTTGGTGTTTGTATCGCATACAAAAAGTGCGTATAGTCGATTGCGTGGCAGCACCAGGTGGCGGATGGATCACGCGACGCGACGGCGCTTCAATGACGTTTCGGAGCGCCATGCGATGACCGTTGTTGGCATCCCAGCAAGCATCTTGACGCATTGACTCATTCCTCAATCTGCTTTCTAGCACCACCACCAACTCGACAACTGCCATGGCGTCCAACAACATTTACCACGGTCAAGCGGCGTTCGCGCCGGGTCTTGACGTCAAGCCACACACGTACGAGGCGCGGCCGTTCGACGAAGAGAACGGCATCGAGATCAAGGTGTCGCACTGCGGCATCTGTGCCTCGGACCTGCACACGATCTCGGGCGGGTGGGGACCGATCCAGTACCCGCTGGTCGTCGGCCACGAAATCGTTGGCCACGTCGTGCGCACCGGGTCCAAGGTCGACTCAATCAAGTACGCGATCGGGACGCGCGTCGGTGTCGGCGCGCAGTGCGGGAGCTGCCTCGACTGCCACCAGTGCAACATGCACGAAGAGCAGGTGTGCCCCAAGCCTGCCTCTCGAACGAGGTTGACATTACCGACGGTATCACGAAGGAAGGCGTCTTGACCCAGTGCAACGGCTGCCTCCGCTTCCAGCAAGGCGCTAAAGACAGCAATGGCGCGTTCGTCGAGTGCCACCTCGAGTCCTTGGAGCTCATGTCGATCTGCCTCAAGAAGCTTCACGGTCTTGGCCGTGACATCAAGCTCATGGACGCGAGTTTTATGTGGACCGAGCCCCACAGCAAGCGCGTCAAGCTCAAGCTCACAATCCGCAAAGAGGTATGTGTCTCCCAACGCTCTCGCTCCTGTTCGAAATGCGACTAGATTTTGCGCCATTCGGTGCTGCAGCAGTCGTTTCTAGTGACGTTTGTGATCGAGAACCTCAAGTGCCCCGACTGCTGCAAAATGTCCCGCAACGATACGTGGCAGGCGCTCGTGCAGATCCGCCAAAAGGTCCACCACCAACGCACGCTCTTGTACCTCGAGCAGATCATCCTCGAGCACAACGCGCACGCGCGCAGCATTGGCCTGGCGGTCGAGAAGGATGGCATGGACTT